GTCTCCTAACTAATGAAAGCATCTACTTAGTACAAAGACTTGCTCAGCACCGTGAATGCACAAGAGAGCCGAAAGTCAGGTGTTAAGGAGCTTATACCTTTTGAGGGGTCAAAAGGCACGTGCCTAGGAATTAAACAGCAGCTCAAGGCAGGAAGACAGACAGGTCTGGATGGACCAAGAAGCACTTCTTACCAGCCTTCATGGACAAGGAGGTTGTAGTTGGCACATGCCAACCACCTGTTACAAGAGTGCTCAGGGACATAGCCTTTCTCCAGGGACTAGGGTGACCCGGTACAGCCACCTCAGCAGCCTGTCAGCTAAGCAGGAAATAACTGGGCAAAATCTTCTTTCCAAAGCAGAGATGAAAGGGACCCTCCTACCTCACTGTAGCTCTCTGCAGCCTTGACCTCCCAGGCTCCAGCGATCCTCCCACCTCAGTTTCCTAAGCAGCTGGGACTATAGGCCCACACCTCTGTGCCTGGCTAAGGGACCCTCCTACCTCAGATGCAATGAAATCACAGACCCTGGATCTCATTGAAACCTGCCCCATCATTAATGCCCCTGTGCAACACAGTTGCTTAGCAACCAGAGGTGAAGGTGAACTTGGGAATGCACACCAGTTAGTGGGTGCCTGGAGTGAAAGAGCCTCTTCATCCTCAGCTGACTTGGGTGAGAACTGGCTCTGTGCTGAGCAACTGTGCTGGGTACAGAGGGTGCAAAGACATTTCCCACATAGCCCCTGAGCGCGCTGCTCAAGAGTTTGGTGGTAAGAGTGAGCCGCCCACACAAGCCCCGGTGGGAGGAACAGCATCCTCTGGAACCCTGCAGAGAGGGCAGCACACACCCTGCTGCAGAACAGGAAGTGCTTCCCCTCTGCTTCTCTGGGCTGCTGCGCCAGGCACTGTGCCTGACTCTTTATAGAAATTATCTCATTTGGCTTGGTGTGGTGATTATGCCTGTAATCCCAGCACTTTGGGAGGCCGAGGCAGGCAGATCACTTGAGGTCAGGAGTTCGAGACCAGCCTGGCCAACATGGTGAATCCCGTCTCTACTAAAAATACAAAACATCAGCTGAGCATGGTGGTGGGCGCCTGTAGTCCCAGCTACTTGGGAGGTAGAGGCAGGATAATCGCTTGAACCCAGGAGGCAGAGCTTGCAGTGAGCCCCGATTGTACCACTGCACTCCAGCCCTGGTAACAGAGCAAGACTCTGTTTCCAAAAAAATAAAAGAAATCATCTCATTTAACGATTGCAGTGGCTCTGAGAGGTGGACATGCTCACCCTTGTTTCGTAGACAAGGAAATCAAGAAGCAGAGAGCCTAGCAACTTGCTGAGGGCCGCACAGCAAGTCAGAGATTCCAGCCCAGGCCTCCTCCACGTAAAGACCTCCCTGAGGTTCCCCTTCTTGGACAGCAGGGAGCATTTTGAATGGGAGTTTGCTTGGCAGAGGGAGAGGCAAGATATAGCAGCCAGGTGAAGGATGAGTTCATATCATAAAGATCCAAAGCCAAGATCCGGGAGCATCTGTTCTCACTTGGAGGGACAGAATAAGGATGCTATTGCACCTCTGTCCCCAGCAGGGGCTCACCTGCAGACATTTGTTACTGGATGAAAAGAACGCAAGAACTGGAAAACAAGTTGGCTTCACCTAGTAGGGTTGAACACGCAAACCACACAAGCCAGGAGTCCCTTCTAGATATGATCCCTAGAGAAATTCTACCCGTGTGCGTCCAGACACCTGTGCAAGAATGTTCAACAGCAGCACCATGTATCCAAAACCAGAAACCACACACAGATCTAGTGCAACAGCATGGGTAAATAACCTGTGTATTCAATGCTGACACATTCTACAGCTGTGAAAATGGAAAGAAATATGACCATGTTCATTAGCACAGGTGGACCTCAGGAACATGATGTTGAATGAAAAAGCAAGCTACAGAAGATGCATGATATAAAACTGTTTATAGGCCGGGCACGGTGGCTCATGCCTGTAATCCCAGCACTTTGGGAGGCCGAGGTGGGCAGATTACGAGGTCAAGAGATCAAGACCATCCTGGCCAACATGGTGAAACCCCATCTCTAAAAAACAAACAAACAAACAAACAAAAACCCGTCTATAAATACTTCAAAAACAGGCCGGGCACTGTGGCTCATGCCTATAATCTCAGCACTTTGGGAGGCCCATGTGGGAGGATTGCTTGAGGCCAGAAGTTTGAGACCAGCCTGGAAAACACAGCAAAACCCCATCTCTACAAAAAATAAAAATAAATTAGCTGGGCATGGTGGCACATGCCTGTAGTCCCAGCTACTCATGAGGCGGGAGGATCACTTGAGCCTAGGAGGTCAAGGAGGTAGTGAACTATGATGGCGCCACTGTACTCCAGCCTAGGAAACAGCGAGACCCAGTCTCTAAAAAATTTTAAAAAGGCTGGGCGCAGTGTAATCACACCTGTAATTCCAGCACTTTGGGAGGCCAAGGTGGGCGGATCACCTGAGGTCAGGAGCTCAAGACCAGCCTGGTCAATATGGTAAAACCTGTCTCTACTATAAATACAAAAAATTAGTTGGGTGTGGTGGTGGGTGCCTATAATCCCAGCTACTTGGGAGGCTGAGGCAGGAGAATTGTTTGAACCCAGTAGGTGGAGGTTGCAGTGAGCCAAGATCATGCCATTACACTCCAGCCTGGGCAACAAGAGCAAAACTCTGTCTCAAAAAACAAGAAAATTAACAATAATAAATAAAACAAGGCTAATGAGATGGCTCATGCCTGAAATTCCAGCACTCTGGGAGGCCGAGATGGGAAACTGGGAGTTTGAGGCCAGCCTGGGCAATATAGCAAGACCCCAACTCTACAAAAAATAAAAACTTAGCTGGGTGTGGGGTTGTGTGCTTGTAGCCCTTGATACCCAGAAGGCTGAGGTGGAAGGTTTGCTTAAGACCAGCAGGTCAAGGCTGCAGGGAGCTGTGATCATACCACTGCATTCCAGCTTGGGAGACAGAGTAAAACCCTGTCTCAAAAAAAAATTTTTTTTTTAAACATAGGAAATGTAACTCTACTGTTAAGAATATACGGCGAAACTATACTGAGAAGGAAGGAACTGATAAAGATCAGATTGGTAGCTTCTCCTGGGGAGGGGCAGCCAGACAGATATGACCTTGGAAGGTCCCCTGGGGACACTGGTGATACAGGGAATTATGTTTCAACTGAGGACGTGAGTGTCTGTTTCATTGTTCTCTGTCTCACAGATACACATTATATATATTTATTTATATATATAAAATAATTCATGGACAAAATCTACGGAGAGTGTAGCTAGCCTCAAAAAAAAAAGTCTCAGACACGATTTGAAATGTATTTTCCCTTCTAACACTTCTCTGTAACTCAGCCTGACTCAGCCCTATCACTGGGGTTGAACTCAGTTGCTGTGGCAAGCCCTAGGCAGTTTCTTTGAAAGCAGTTTTCTCAGAGATGTGCCTGGAGACCTCGAGGCTCCGAACTTTTAACAGGCTTGCAGATTGGATGGTCCCTCCCTGCCTGTCTTACCTGGAGCTTGTCTCAACCTGGACCCAACCTTTGGCAGGGTTTGACTTCCAGTGTGAGGCAGGTCCTAGGCCACACCAGTCTCTCTGCAAATGGCTGAAAAACAAGTGCCAGGCCCTAGGCCAGGCTCCACAGGAGTGCTATGTTGCTCACCTTTCCTGGGAAGCAAAGGACCAGGAGATGACCCACCCGAGGATGAGTTCCCTAAGAGCTGCTGGCCTCATGTCCCTACTCACTCATTCAAGACCTCTAGTGTGGCTTCCTCTTGCTGTTATCATAAAGTTCCAATCTTTTTTTGTTTTTGTTTGAGATAGAGCCTTGCTCTGTTGCCCAGGCTGGAATGCAGTGGCCTGATCTCAGCTTACTGCAGCCTCTGCCTCCTGAGCTTAAACAATCCTGCCTGCCTCTGCCTACCAAATAGCTGGGACCACAGGCACACACCACAATGCCCAACTAATATTTTAAAAGTTATTTTTGTAAAGATGGGGTCTTGCTATATTGCCCAGGCTGGTCTCAAACTCCTGGGCTCGAGTGATCTTCTCACCTTGGACTCCCAAAGTGTTGGGATTATAGGCATGACCACCATACCAAGCCATGGTCAATTTTTTTTTTTTTTTTTTTTGGAGACAGTCTTGCTTTTTTGCACAGGCTGTAGTGCAGTGGCATGATCTCGGCTCACTGCAGCCTCTGCCTTCTAGGTTCAAGCGATTCTCCTGCCTCAGCCTCCTGAGTAGCTGGGGTTACAGATGCCTACCACCACACCTTGCTAATTTTTGTATTTTTTGTAGTGATGGGGTTTCGCCATGTTGGGCAGCCTGGTCTCAAACTCCCAAACTCAGATGATCTGCCCGCCTTGGCCTCCCAAAATGTTGGGATTTACAGGTGTGAGCCACCATGCCTGGCCCATGTTCAACATCTTGATCTTGATCTTCAGGCCCTGTGAGGTTTGTCTTCTGCCAGTCCCACAATCTAATCACAACTGTATCCCGGGCCCACCAGCGTTTTCTCTGATTATCTCCCAAGCTCTAACTGGTGTCAGCCTGATCCTTGCTCTTCTCTCCCCCCACCACCCTCACCCCTCCACCAAGTCTCAGGTCACCCTTATTTGCTTTTTTCCCAATATAAAGGAATGGCCAGGTACAGTGTCTCATGCCTGTAATCTCAGGGCTTTGGGCGGTGGAGGCAGGGGGACTGCTTGAGCCCAGGAATTTGAGACCAGTCTGGGCAACATAGCAAGACCCAGTCTCTACAAAGAAATTAAAAATTCACCAGATGTGGTTGTATACGCCTGTGGTCCCAGCTACTTGTGAGGCTAAAGTGGGAGGATCACTTGAGCCAAGGAGGTGGAGGCTGCAGTGAGTTATGATCACATCACTGCCCTCCAACCCAAGTGATAGAACAAGACCCTGTCTCTACATAATATATAGAGAAGTACAGAGGGGTAACAGATGCCAAGTACCCGGCATGGAGGAGTGCTCACAACAGGGGCCGCTATCCCGTCATTGGGATGTGACTTTTACGCCTTCCAGCCGGATCTTGTCTTCCCTCGAGCCAGGCTCCTGTTGCATCTGGACTTGCAATGCCTGGAACCTAAAAAGGAAAAGATAATCAGCCTTGGAGCAGGAGGCGGAGGCTGGAGAGAAAGGGAATCGTTCTGGGATCAAAGGGATGCTCTGCTTCGGAAGAAAAGGCCACGAAGTCCTGAGGGGCGTGTCACCCTAGATAACACTGGCAGAGTGGATCACACCAGCAGCCTGCAGGGGGAGAAGGGCTTCTCTTCCACCCAGTGGAGTGGACAGCCTGGGAAGCAACTGACGCAGGTCCCGAGACCCCTGGGGATGGTGGGGAGGAGAGAAGATAGCAGCCTTGGGCTTGCTCGTGGTCAATGTGGAAGATCTTTGATGGAAAAGGCTTTGATGGAAACCTCTGCGGACTGGAGCTGCTCTAATCAGCTGCTAATTCATTAGGTCAAAAGCAGTAATCCCCGTTCCCAAACCCCAAAGAGTTCCCTTCACTATGAATTATGTCTTTAGCCTCCAGCCTGCCATGGGTTTGGGCAGGAACACGCCATAGCCTATACACGCTGTAATTTCCCAAGGGCGGTGTCCCTTATGGTAACTGACAAGGCCACCGCTGATGCCCTGCTCAGCCATCTAGGAGTCCAGCTAGGGGTCTGCATTTTTTGGGGAAGGGTCAGTTCTCCTTCAGGAAAGAGGAGACCAGGATCTCACTCTGTTGCCCAGGCTGCAGTGACGTGGCACAATCATGGTAAGAGGGAAAGGTGGGGTTTAAACCCTGGTACGGTGGAAGGAGCCTTATGCCTGTCCTCAAAGATGGTTGGAACCTGGTGGGGGGGCCTTAGGCTGCTGCTCTAGGACGACTCCATTCAGGAGTGACAGGGACCCTGGGACACTGATGTTTAATCAGGGGCTTGCTTGGTTTTGGCTTTAAAGACTAATCACAGGTGACATGAGGTTTCCTGGGGCTGCCAGGAGCTGTTCCTGTCGGGCATCGGCTGGGGTTGGAGTGAACTGTCAGAGGCCCTCGGTCCCAGGGAGGCGCTGCCAACAGGCATCTCCGGAGGACACCATCTCCTTGGTCTTCTCATGGGCTCCCTGCTTTGTGGCTGGGACAGGGCCGTGGGCTGGGGCTGGGTAGGGAGGGGAATCACAGAGCCAAGGGCCTCTGCAAAGGCGGCAGAGCCGTCCACAGGCTAGTCAGCAAACACAAAGGGAAATTATACCGTCTGCATTTTTTAAAAAAGAGAATGTGTCTATCATCAGAAAAAAAAAAGGCTTTAAAAAAATTGTAAGGGGCTGGGCGCAGTGGCTCACGCCTATAATCCCAGCACTCTGGGAGGCTGAGGTGGGCAGATCACAAGGTCAAGAGATCGAGACCATCCTGGCCAACATGGTGAAACCCTGTCTCTACTAAAAATACAAAAATTAGCTGGGCGTGGTGGCACGCACCTGTGGTCCCAGCTACTCGGGAGGCTGAGGCGGAAGAATCGCTTGAACATAGGAGGTGGAGGTTGCAGTGAGCTGAGATTGCACCACTGCACTCCAGCCTGGTGACAGAGCAAAAAAAAAAAAATAGTAAGGAAGGTTTTAATTGTGGCCAGGCATGGTGGCTCATGCCTGTAATCCCAGCACTTTGAGAAGCTGAGATAGGAGGATCACTTGAGACCAGGAGTTCAAGACCAGCTTGGGGCAACTTACAAAAAATAATCTCTAAATAAATAATAAAAAAATTATCTGGGCCTGGTAGCATATACCTGTAGTCTCAGCTACTCAAGAGGCTGAGGTGGGAGGATGGCTTGAGCCCAGGTGGCTGAGGCTGCAGTGAACTATGATTGCGCCACTGCACTCCAGCCTGGATGACAGAGCAAGACCCTGTCTCCAAGATAAAGCAAAGAAAGATTTTAATTACAAGAAAGGAGAAACAGGCTTGGACAACTACTTTTGTTCTTCCACCCCACCCTCCATTCACTATGTCAATGTAGGTTGGGAAAATTGAGGCACAAGAAAACCAGTACTGAGGCTGGGCTATTTCTGCCCTTAGAATTTTGATGACAGCATTTGGGAACTTGGTCCTTAGGTCAGGGAAGATTTCTAGGATTAAAAGTCAATTTCTTGACCACTTGCAAGACTGGCTCACAGGTATAACATGCAACTGACTAAACATCAACCCTCCTGCTTACAGACTATCCGCTGTGTGCCAGACACTTTGTTAGGCGCCACTGATGAACCTTCAGAACTCTTTGAGGTAGGTGGTATCATCATCATCATCATCATCATCACCACCACCACCACCACCTTACAACCAAGAAAACATAAGCTTAGAGAGGGCCGGGCGTGGTGGCTCATGCCTGTAATGCCAGCACTTTGGGAGGCTGAGGTGGGCGGATCACTTGAGCTCAGGAGTTCAAGACCAGCCTGAGCAATATGGCGATACTCTGTCTTTATAAAAAATACAAAAAAGTAGCTGGGCGTGATAGCACATGCCTGTGGTCTCAGCTACTTGGGAGACTGAGGCAGGAGGATCACTTAAGCTTGGGAGGTCAAGGCTAAGCCAAGATTGTACCACTGCACTCCAACCTGGGTGATAGAGGGAGACCCTCTGTTTTTTGAGACCTGTCTCAAAAAAAAAGTTTAAAGAGGAAGTTCAAGTTCACATACGTAGTAGAAAGGTAGGATTTGGACCCAAGGTTTTCTGACTTCCCCTTGATTGCTACTATATAGCATCTTTTTCAAGTTTACCTTTTTAAAGGGCTGTAACCAGAAAGTATATGTGCAAAAGCTCCCTGAAATGTTATTTAACATACCAGCTTAAGACAGAGTGAAAACTGCGCTCTAAGTTGTCAGATATTGGCTCAAGGTTAAAAAGAATAACTATTGCTTCTCAAAAGGGGAATCAATTGCTTAGTGCACTGTAGACGCCACGTGTTGGTGTTTTCCAAGCACAATCAATGCCCATTCACCCCACAATGAAGCCTGTTAGTTGACAAACAAAATGCCAGTTTTCCTTTTTTTGGAGGTGGAGCCTTGCTCTTGTTGCCCAGGCTGGAGTGCAGTGGCATGATCTTGGCTCACTGCAACCTCTTCACCTGCCAGATTCAAGTGATTCCGCTGCCTCAGCCTCCCAAGTAGCTGGGACTACAGGCATGTGCCACTATGCCTAGCTAGTTTTTTGTATTTTAGCAGAGACGGGGTTTTACCATGTTAGCCAGGATGGTCTCGATCTCCTGACCTCGTGATCTACCCACCTTGGCCTCCCAAAGTGCTGGGATTACATGTGTGAGCCACTGAGCCTGGCCGTTTTTTGTTTTTGTTTTTTTTCTTGAGATGGAGTCTTGCTCTTGTTTCCCAGGCTGGAGTGCAGTGGTGTGACCTCGGCTCACTGCAACCTCTGCCACCTAGGTTCAAGTGATTCTCCTGCCTCAGCCTCCTGAGTAGCTGGGATTACAGGCTTGCAATATCATGCTCAGCTAATTTTTGTATTTTTAGTAGAGACGGGGTTTCACCATTTGGCCAGGCTGGTCTTGAACTCCTGACCTCGTGATCTGCCTGCCTCAGCCTCCCAAAGGGCTGGGCCACCACGCCCAGCTAGAAAATGCTGGTTTTTGTTGCCCCTCATTTAAGAATAAATAGAGAGCCAAGGATCAATTGATGGTTGAGGAAAGTCTCCACATGAAAGGCAGAGATCAAAAGTGTCACATGGACACAAGGAACCTACTAGAAGCAGACAATGAATAGAATAAGAGAAAAATTTTAAAAACATAGCCTGGCTGGGTGCCGTGGCTCACACCTGTAATCCCAGTATGTTGGGGAATCCCAGAAATTATCAGAGAAATAATATTAGAGAATTCTCTGAATGTAAGAACGTGAGACTTCAGACTTAATCAGCCCTTTGATGATTAGTACAATCAGTGGAAAAGAGCCTTTTCAGTGCACATTGTTGCAAAAATTCTGGCCACCAGGGAATAAGAAAAGACCCTAGAAGCTTCCAAAGAAAAAAACCAAAAAGGCCAAGGTGGGAAGATTGCTTAAGCCCAGGGATTTGAGGCCAGTTTGGACAATATAGCCAGACACTGTCTCTACAAAAAATCAAAAAACTAGCTGGGCATGGTGATGTACACCTGTAGTCCTGGCTACACAGGAGGCTGAGGCAGGAGGACTGCTTGAGCCCAGGAGATGGAGGCTGCGGTGAGCCATGTTTGCACCACTGCACTCCAGCCCGAGCAACAGAGTGAGACTGTTTCTCAAAAGAAATCCCCAAAATATAAACTGATAATTAAGAACCATTGAGCGATGAAATGAAGCATTGCATCCATAAAGCAATGGTAAGGTGCTAAGAAGAGGAACAATCAAAGAACAAGAAATTCTTGGAAATTAAAAAGAAGGCAGCAGAAACTTAAAATCAATAGAAGGCTTGGAAGATAAACTTAAGGAAATTTCCCGAGAAGTTAAATAAAACGTTAGAAGAAAAGAAGGGAGGGAACGAGATCAATTTAAAAGGCTTAATATCCAATAAATAGAAATCCTAAAAAGAGATTACAAAGACTGTGTCTTCTTGTTATTTATCTTCTGGGGATAGAATATAAACCAAGGGATGAAATTATCAGAGAAATTAATATTAGAGAATTCTCTGAATGTAAGAACATGACACTTCAGAGTTAATTGGCCCTCTGAATATTAGTACAATCAGTGGAAAAGAACCTTCTCATTGCACATTGTTTCAAAAACTCTGGCCACCAGGGAATAAGAAAAAACTCTACAAACTTCCAGAGAGAAAACCTCAGGCCATGTGAAGAGGAATGGAAGCATACGTGGCACCAAACTTCTCAAACAAAAACTGGAAGCTGGGTGAAAATGAAGCAGTGCCTTCACATTTTTTATGGAAAATACTTTTTTACCTAGGATCCTATATCCATCCAAATTATTATGTGTGAAAATAGAATAAAATTATTTTATTTGAATATTTGTCTGAATATTTGTCTCCTATGCACCTTTTCATTGGAAGCTACTCGGGGATATGATCCAGCAAAACGAGGGAGTAAGCGATAAAGAGGAAGGTACGGAGTTCACAAA